GTGATAGAATCGGGAAAAGTTACAACGGAAATGTACCAAGCGATTACATAAACGAAAGTTCAAAGTAAGTAAAAGGTCAGACCCCTTCGTCTTGCGATTATAAAAATTTGTGGTCGACAGACGGTCGTAAACTCTTGGGGGGCGGGGGGTGCGGTCAGTGAGAGGGAGGAGGTACCGAAACCGGTCTCCGACTTACCGGTGTGGGTTATAAAACTGGTCGGGCCCCAATCGCTGAGACGAAGAAGAGTGCGATTTCGTGTTTAGTTAGTGCATTTATTCAGTTACATTCTACCTATGAGACCTAGTTTGACTACAACGTCTTTATAATCACTCACATTAGAATCGTTCATTTCGATTTGATCTACGGAGACGCAGACAAAAAGTCGTCCTTTTCCTCATATGTACAATATTGTGGTCGACGGGTAGGTTTCACTGACTTAACTCGTTGCAGTCGGAGACACACTTTATGGTAAACTACTTGACCGTTCACTTGTCGTTGTTGGCGTAGATCCGTCTACCCATTACAGCAATTGCCCACAAGTGGGGGACCACCCACTCACTAAAGTGGAGAGACGTGGCCACTCTGACATGTTGCATCCCTGGGATGTGTCCAAGTCGCAAGTCAGTTAATTGTTGAAATAAAGAAAGCTGTTACATTGAGTGTTGTGGGTCGGTAACCCAGTCTCTAAGTTATTTGGCCCTCTCGAGATGAGTGTTTTCACAGGTGTTGTAAACGGTTTTTTAATTTTCAGTTCTGTAATCATTCATGTTCGGTTACAAATAAATGCTTTTTCTTGACATTAAGCAGGGATATTTAATGTCATTAAAACAAAGTGGATTCTACAATACACTCACCTAAATGAATACATTCCTATTGCACTTTCAATTGCCTCTTTGGTAGTTAATGGATTTTGTACATTTATGATCAGTTATTGGGCAGAAACGCATGCCGAAATAAGAAATATATTAACTCTAACTTAATGTGAAATGTCTATGCTTTAAAACAACTCACAACCAGTTTGTTCATCTGCAAAGGAAGTTAATCTTAAAACTTTTGTTCTTCTCAAAAGCAACGTGTTTAATGGCTCAAAGATAATATAGCATATCCAGAGGGTGCTCTTCTCACTGTAAGACATGGAGTTAAGAACCATTCAATGTTTTTCTCCATCTCTCACAATCATGAGGTAATTGGACTGTTTGGGAAATAAATTAATTTAGCTTTGCATAACTGCCTCTGACAAAAAAAAAATCATACAACAGAATATTTTGAATGCTGAAAAGGTGTGCACTTCAAAATGATACAAAAATACAGACGCATACACACAGTGTCCTCATGCGTACAAAAGTTGACGTATTTGGCTTTACTAAAACGCCCTGAAAATAAGGCATTGTGAATCAGAACGGTTTGCTACACTGAAACATACATCAAATTGTTCACAGGCCAAAACATCCCCTTCTGTTGTGATGTAAATTGAGGAACTTACATCATACAGTGATTGTTTTTTTTTATTAACATAAATCCTTTCTCCTGTTTGCTCATTCTATTGCAAAACATACACAGCTCTCTTTTAAAACCCAACAGGAACATACAGTACTGTGACACTCGTAAGCTTCCTATTGCCCCCGTTTCTACAGCTCCCAAACCACAGCAGCAAATTGACAATAATACATATAAATCCCAGTGAAAAGAGAAAGTTTCACAGTGTAGTACACCACAGTCTCAAATGCAATTAGCTGAAATGTAACTCGACATGCTTTGGAGTCTGAAGAGACAGAGCAGCAGCAAGATGAAAACAAAAAGACTTGCTTAACGTTTCTGTTTGAAACTTGCAGATAGTTAAAACAATAATACCAGTAGTCTTCACACGTCTGCTGCAGTGTCTCAATCAAGTTTAAGGCAAAGTGGAGAGAACATTCAGTTTGTATGTTATTAGCATTCTTCATAATACAAACACATCTTGTGACAAAGTGTAATTATCTTTCCGGTCTAATCAGCCAGTGTGTGCCAATGAAGGGTTAAAAATGTGACTTCTTTAGCGCTGCTTCTCCAGTGTAAGCACGGAGGACATACTCTACCATCCAGCCCCGACTTTAACATGCAAACATCATATCCAGACCCCAGACGTTCTGAATCAGGTTCATGTCCTTCAGTTTGTCAATCCTCTGGAGAGAGAGGAGCTTCACATAGCCTCACACAGTCACACCAGCAAAAACCTTTAGAAAAGCTGCGGCGATCTGCGTGAGGCTTCTTCTTCTTCTTTTCTTATCTCTGGTCCAAACTGAGGAGGAGGCAGGCCGTCTCTCTCCAACACCTCTGCAGAGTGGTGACCAGCAGATTAAAACACAATTTGTATTTAAGTAGACTCCCTATTCCCTCAATTTTGTATACTGTGTTATTTTAATCACATTTTATTTGTTTACTAATTACCTGAGGTGGACGATGTCTCATGACAAAATGTGTACGAAGAGAATGGCCAGGCCAATATTGAGAAGGATG